TTCCCAGGTGATTCTAATGTGCAGCCAAGGTTGAGAACCACTGCTCTAGAGGGTGTCGGCCCATTTTCAGGCACGTGGACCCAGAGGGGCGGGAGGGGAGGGGGAACCCTGGGCCCCTTGGCAGATGGAAAGGGGAACCCAGAGCGAGCCCGCAGGAACCAGGCGTCCGGGGGTTTGCTGGGACACCCAGGACAGGACACCCTCAAGCAGAGGTCTTGGCCCTCCGTCCGTTACAGGTTTTATGAGAAAACAAAATGTTCAAGGCATTTAGGTATGACTTTCTATAATTCCCTGATTTAACCAAATTTCTTTCTATTTTATAAAATATCTTTTTTATTGATTTCAGAGAGGAAGGGAGAGGGAGAGAGAGAGATAGAAACATCAATGATGAGGGAGAACCATCCCACACGCCCTGCACTGGGAATCGAGCCCATAACCTGGGCATGAACCCTGACCAGGAATCAGACAGTGACCTCCTGGTTCATAGGTCGATGCTCAACCGCTGAGCCACATAGGCCGGGGGAAATTCCTTTCTATTTTTGATGAAAACTCCCCTCATCACGTCCTTCCCCCTATATCCTGCAGACGGGGGCGGGGTGGGGGGGGCAGGGGTGTGCCCGAGTGCCTGAGGCTGGTGGGCACCACGCTCAGCCTTGGCCTCCACAAAGCCTCAACAGGTGAGACCCAGCGCTCACCTGTACGATCCAGAAAGGACGTATCTCCAGTCCGAGATGATGAACTTCTCCTGGACTTGGCCGGCGAACTTCCTGCCTGATTTGGCGCAGTACACCTCTGCTTCCACACTCCGGATGGAAATGTTCTGTTGGAAGGGAGGTATTTATAGATACACGTCTGCCCAGGACTAAGTCTGGAAGGATGCTCACCAACACGGAAGCAGGGTTATGTCTAGCTGGTGGGATTATGGGCCATTTTTATTTTATCCTTGGCTGAATTCTCTAAATGGCCTTCATTGTCCTGACAATACTCGAAGTAACAGAAGAAAAAAAAGGGAGGGGGGATGGTAGAAAGCAGAAAATAGAAGCCGAGGGTCGGTGCCCCGGAGCCGTCAGTCTCAGCTCCCATGGACCACGGAGGTCTGGCAGGGGCAGCTTGCCTTGTGAGTGACTTTAGTGACATGAGTGCCTGACCCCAAGCTGGTCAGTGAGAAGGCTCAGTGCAGCCAGAGGGGGCAGCTGTGTGGAGACCTCACTGGACCCTCCATTGTTTTGTCGAAAAAAAGGTGTGTTGCCCTAGCCTAGCTGG